TCTTAAGTTTAAAAACTTCTGATAGAAATAAAATCACACAGTGGAAGACTCAATATTTTTGAGATATCAATTCTCTGCAAATTAACCTATAGACTAATCTCAATCAAAAATCAATCCCAGGGGTGCCTGGGTGGCTCAGTCAGTTAAGTGTCCAACTTCAGCTCAAGTCATGATCTCACTCACAGTCCACAGTCTGTGGGTTCGAGCCCCATGTCAGGCTTTGTGCTGACAGCTCAGAGCCTGGAGCCTGCTTCGAATTCTGTATCTCCCTCTCTCTCTCTGCCTCTCTCCTGCTCCTCCTCTGTCTCTCCCTCTCAAAAATAAATAAACATTAAAAAATTTTAAAAAATCAATCCCAATGAAAATCCCAGAAGATTCTGTGTGTGTGTGTGTGTGTGTGTGTGTGTGTGTGTGTGTAAATTGACAAGCTGATTCTCAAGTGCTTATGAAAACACCAAGAATCTATGATAATCAAAACAACTCTTAGGAAAAATGACCAGGGTTTCAGAGTTAATGAGATCTGATTCCACAAATTATTAATAAAGCTACAGTAATCACAAAGCATTGTACTGGCATCAAGACAGATCAGGGGCGCCCGGGTGGCTCAGTCGGTTAAGTGTCCAACTTCAGCTCAGGTCATGATCTCACAGTTCATGGGTTCGAGCCCCACATCCGGTTCTCTGCTGCTGTCATGGAGTCCACTTTAGATCTTCTGTCCCCCTCTCTCTCTGCCCCTCCTCTGCTCACTCTCTCTCTCTCTCTCTCAAAATAAATCAATAAACTTTAAAAATTAAAAAAAGAAGGAAATACTGCCATTTGTGATGGACTTTGAGGACATTACCCTACGTTGAATAAGTGAGACAGAGAAAGATCAATACTACATGATCTCACTTCTGTGTGAATCTTAAAAAAACCAAAAACAAAAACCTAATTCATGGATACAGAGAACAGAGTGGTAGTTTCCAGAAGCAGGGGGGTGGAGGGTGGGCAAAATGAGCGAAGAGGGTCAAAAGGTACAAACTTCCAGTTAGAAGATAAATAAATCCTGGGGATATAATGCACAGCCTGGTGACTAGAATCAACAATATTGTATTGTACTTGAAAGTTGCTAAGAGAGTAAGTCTTAATGGCTCTCATGACAAGGAAAATTATTTGTAACGATGTGTGGTGATCAATGTTAACTAAACTTACTGTGGTCATCATTTTGCAATGTATACATGTATTAAATCATTATGTCATACACCTAAAACAAATACAACATTTTTTGGACTGGATGACAGGTATTTAACATTTATCTCAAGGAAAGGGTGTTTGATTTCATGACTAAAGGAAACAGTTTGAAATTTTTAAAATATATTTCAAGGGCTAATAGCTTGAAGTCATTTCCTGGAGAGGAAAATGCATTCCAAGACTTTGATTTAGAGATCTTAAAATATATAGCTAATAAAAACCCTCTTGTAGGGGTGCCTGGGTGGTTCAGTCAGTTAAGTATCTGACTTCGACTCAGGTCATGATCTCAGGGTTCACAGGTTCGAGCCCCGAATTGGGCTCTGTGCTAACAGCTCAGCGCCTGGAGCCTGCTTCAGATTTTGTGTCTTCCTCTCTCTCTGCCCCTCCCCTACTTGCGCTCTGTTTCTCAAAAATAAATAAAATGTTTAAAAAAAACCTCTCTTGTCACCACTGAAAGTAGCTACAACATCAATTCCTTACTTCAAAATTGACAATTAAATGGAAAGAAATAAGCTCCTAGCCTACCTTTTCCAGTAAGAACTGAATTGTAGAATAGCCAAATGGCCCTAGATGATGGGGGGAAATTATTCTTTCCACAAATTCTAGCTATGAAGAATAAATGACAGAGTAAAAATACTACCATTTTGCACTTCTCAATAGAATAGTCAATTCAAGCGAGATCATTAATGGAGACTTAAACCACTAGGTAGAAGGGCAATGCTCAATGGAGAACTTTCATCTGCACGTGTCAATTACCAGCCCTCAGACTACTTCCTATTTGGACCCACTGATCACTCGTAGACACGACTAATGGGACAACTAGACATTCTGGGCATCCTGAGTAACGTGAAGCACAGAGCAGTACCTGGCAAGCAAGAGGCCTGGCCACAAAGCTTTCATCTAAATCTAATCAAGCCTTAGCTCTAACTCTCACCATAGAAGAAATTATAGGAGATTGAGGAACAAGTTAGCAGTACAAAGAAGCAATCATGGTGACATCTTGCACGACAGATAACCGGATTTCTGTAGTTCTTCGCTGACAAGGAAACAGATAGGAAACACTGTTCTAAACTAAAAGATATATATATGTGCAGGGGCATCTAGGTGGCTCAGTCAGTTAAGCATCTGACCTCAGCTCAGGTCATGGTCTTGCAGTTCATGGGTTTGAGCCCCGCATGGGGCTCTGTGCTGACAGCTAGGAGCCTGGAGCCTGCTTCGGATTCTCTGTCTCCCTCTGTCTCTGCACCTCCCCTGCTTGAACTCTATCAAAAATAAATAAACGTTAAAAGAAACATTAAAAAACAACAACAAATGCAATACAGAGGTCTTGTTTGGGAACCTGGTTCAAATAAATCACCAATCGAAGTGTTTTTTTGACTCAGAAAATACGAATTTAGTTTAAATGATTTTAAGCAATTATTATGCCACATATATACTCTGATTATGTAAAACACTTAATTTTCTATATGCATACAAAATATTTAAGATTAAAATATCCCAGTGTGATTTGTTTTAAAATATCTTTGCAATACAACTGATAAAATGAATACAGCAAATTGTCAAAATAGGTCTAAATCCAGGTAATGGGAATATGAGAGTTCACGCACTTTTATTTTTTGTACATTTGAAAATTTTCAAAATAAAATTATCAAAGTATATAACAGAAAGTCATATGCTCCTAGTAACACAAACATCAAATGCACGCAATGAAAGCATTTAAATGGTCTGCAAGTCAGTCTACCCTGACTCAAAATCAGAATCACAGGTGATGTCTACTCACTGGTCCACTCCTATTTAACACCTTGGCTCCACCGCCTACCTAGAGCTACGTGACCTTGAGCAACTTCACCTCTGAGCTCCCTCCTCTGTAAAACGAGTGTGGGAGTAGCGCCTACCTCGCAGGGCTGCTGTGAGAACGACACGGGTTACTACAACTAGCGACACATGGGATGGACAGCTTCCGCTGTGGGTGACAGAGTGGAGACAGTCATTCAAAAAGTATTTATTTCGTACCTTCCACGGGCCCAGCACGTGCTGAGGGCTCCCACACTGAGCTGGCGGACAAGGATGGGCACGCTCAAGTCACCGCAGACATACACAAACAATGACATACACAAACACAAGCAATGACAAATCCAGGAAAAGGGCAGTGGGCCACCAGAGGTGTGCTGGTTGATCAGCAGGGAAGACGCTCTCCAAGTTCAAGCCATTCACGTGGGCAGCGAGTGGTGAAGGCAGGGACTCTGGGTAAATACTTAGGTTTGCATCCAGCTCCTCCGCCTCCCACTGTGTGTGACCTTGATCAACTTACTTCACCTCTTCATTTCCCGTCTGTGCAGGAATGAACAGTCCTTACCTCGCAGGGTCGTTGTGAAGAGTGCATGGTTAATAGTGTACAGTGCTTAGCAGAGGACCTGGCACATACTACTCCCTAATGTGTCTGTTATTATCTTGATGGTCCAGTGCAGAATGGGGTATCGTGCTGCCACCCCTTTCTCAGTTTGGTTTGTGAGGACTTAATGAGTTAACGTTTTGAAGTTCCTTTTTCAGGAAACCCTAGCTGTACCCTAGAGTCTGTGTGTGTATATGTGCACCCATAGTTACACATTTACGGAGACACACACATATTGATGCATGGGCTCCATTCTGTAGCAAATGAATTAAGACATTCTAGGGATAAAGCCCGGGCGTTTGTATTTTTTACAAGCTCTTCCAGGGATTCTAATGTACAACCAAGGTCGAGAACCACTGATCTAGGCATTCAAAACTGGGAAACCATTTCAGAAGTGTAATCTCTACAGTGCAATGGGTTTATTATTACTGATAGCCGTACAGTACAGCCGTACTGATAGCGTGTATCAGTGTACAATCTGTCAGCCCGTTAGAGCATACAAATGAGGTTAACCTTCAGAAGAGTGCAAGTTCTCCATAATTCCTCTCTCCTCTTATACCATCCCCCACCTACTCCAATTGCTGAACAAACATCCAGGGGGAAAAAGCGCTCAGGCAAGCCACTCTGCTCTCTCTAGCGACTGCCTCACGTCCAGCTTCCAGACGGGATTAATTTGGGAACTGGCTAGAACATGCCCTTGGGTCGAGTTATTTACATATAGAAGCCACCCAACCCAACCCAACCCAACCCAACCCAACCCAACCCAAATCACGCTGACGTTTGATGCACTCGGTTTAGTAGAAAGGTACCTTTCTGCACCCGGATGACCTTACACACAGAAAAGTTAACCAGGCTGTTTGTCACGAGGGTGGGAAGAGGAAGGAATCAGACTGTAAATAGTTGGGCACTGGTTTTCCTTTTACGAATCGACGATTCAAAAAAAAAGAGTTTAGCAACTTTTGAGGGGCTACAGTGGAATGTTCCATGGCTTGATGGGGTCCTGGTTACATCTGGGCATATCCATTTGCCAAAATTCATCAAGCTGTATGCTTATCATCTGTGTCTTTTATGGTAGGTAAGATAGGCCTCAATAAAAAAAAAAAAAAAAAAGCAGCACAGGTTAAAATAGTTGGCAAACAGTCGTTCGCTCTGAGGTTCACACGGGGAGAGAAGCCAAAAAGGAGAGTCGCAAGTTAGCTCGAACTCCCTCTTTGACCTGCTTGCTCTGGCTTAGGCGGAAGAAGGGCTGGAACTAAGCACGTCCTTGGACAAGGGCTGACCGCGAGGGAGGAGACGGAGCCCCCCCCACCCCCCGCGCCCCGCACTGCGGGGTCTGGCCCGGGTCTGGCGCGGCCAGGAGCACGCGCGGGGTCCTTACCGAGCAGGAGGAAGGACAGGACCCACTGCAGCACCGCGGCCGTCTGCAGCCGCCGCGCCAGCGGGATGTTCAGCGGCGCAAACTCGACCTTCATGGTCAGCCCGGGAGGGGACTGCGCCGACTGAGGGCGCTTCGAACCTGGTGGCTCCGCGGCGCCTGGGAGGAGTGTGCGGCCGGATCCGGGCCCCGCGCCGGACACCCCCAGGGCGGAGAGCGGGGACTGGCTGCGGCCGCGGAACGGGCGAGGGCAGAACTTCGTCGCGGGGTGGGGCGCGAGGGCTGAGGCTGGGGGCTGCCAATCGCGCGCGCCCGGGCCCGGGTACAGCTGGCGCGCCCGGGGCGCATTGGCCGGCGCGCCGCGGCGCTGGTGCGAGCGCGCCGCCTGGGGCACTAGGGGTGGCCGGAGGGGTCGGCTGGCGGCCGGTCCGAGCGCGGCAGCGTGGGCTCCCGCAGCCTCGCGGAGGACCCGGGATCCCCTCCGGGACCCATTGTTCAGCTGATCGACCACCTTCAGCATCCGCCCTTAAACCCACCCCTTCCTCCGAACTCTCTGAGGCTGGGGAAGTGTTAGTTCACGGAATCGCCCACCAGGTGGAAGAAGGTGCGGGCCGTGGCTTCTTTGCTCGCAGGGTATACTTGTGTTTACTGGTCTGTATCCCCTCCACCGCGTCCTAAACTCGGGGTGCGGGGAGAAGGGAACAGGGATTTGGCCTCCTCGCTTGGGTACTCAGATCTCTACGCTAGTCCTGGAAACCTTTCAGTAATCATTTATCCAACAGATATGGACTGAGTACCTGCCACATGAAAGGAACCATTGTGGCCCTGAGCATACACGTGGTAACCCAGGTGCGCATTGATTCTGCTCTCAGAGAACAGAGATTATGGGCGGAGACAAACATTAAGCAAAAATAACCACACAGTTGGGTGTACGATTGCAAAGTGAAACGCTACTGAGAATGACTGAAGGAAAGTTCTAGGATTTAGACTGGCGATCAGGAAAGTCACTGAACAACTGACCTTGACTGGAGGTCTAAAAGTGAATCTAGTTAACTGAGGGAGTCCAGGCAAAGAAGCTCATATGTGCAAAGGTCCTGTGGCAGAAACTCAAAACTAATATAGTGGGAGCTCAGGGAATTAGGAGATTGGGGTGGAATGAGGCAAAAATGGCCGCCAGAGGCCAGATCCTTGCAGGCTGTGTTTAGGGTTCAAGCCTTGACCCTAAAATTTGCTGAAGGGTTTCAGTTATGAAGCATTAAATGGTTAGATTCTGAATAATTGCCTAATCCTTGGGAGCACCCACTACCTTTTCTTTATAAGTATTAGTTACTGTCGAGTTGGACAACTCCAAGTGGCAGGTGGCTGTCAAGTCATTGCTACAAGGGATCTGCAACAGGGCAAAGTTGACTAGCCACCTCCCCCCACCACCGCAGGCCCCTTTCTCCATCAACATTTTAATGGAAAGTTAGATAAAAGAGGAATACTACAAAGTAGTTCAGAGGAGTTGTTTGTGACTTTATGTAGGCGAAACTTGCCGGTTTGGGGTTTTATTCGCCCCTACTTGAGGAATCTCTTCTCACTTACACTTCTTCCCTGAACCTTTCCCGGGTGCCAGTGGGGAAACCATGAGAACACACTCTCTCACACGTTGTGAAGAGCCTTTCGCGCTTCCTAGAGCAATCCTGCGAATAAGCATTAGCTTTTTAAGGAAAGCATTTTCAAGAATTTCAAGGAAATCCAGGCTCAACGTCACACAGCTGGCAGAGTGGAGAAGCTTCAAATACAGTTCTGTCTAAATCCCAGAGAGGAGAGTCCTCCCTTCAGTAAGTGAATCTCACCTAGAACAAGTGATTGAGTGCTCGCTTTGCATCAGTGTTGATGACAAAAGTAAATGAAGACATGGTCTCTGAGCATGAGAGCACTCGATCGTTGATTCTTTATAAAGGCTTCTGCTAGGCACAAAGTTGAGAATAGGTATGGGCTACAATAGTGAATAAGAAACGTGTTTGTCCTTGTGGGGGAAAACAGAAAATAACCACCTAATGGTTAAGCCTACTTCCAGGCTTCTCCTAATCAAGTGGCATGTCCTGTACTGAATCGTGTTCTTTTACTTTCCCAGGCCCTCAGCTAGGAGAAAACAGCTGTCGTTTTTTAAGCACAGCATATTGCAGCAAAGCATGGCCCCACAGGGCTCCGTCAGTACAACAGCCTGTCACCATTTTAAGCAACAATTAAATCACTCATTTCGCGGTCAGCACGTTTGTTTGTATGTTTATAGGTGTCCCAGGTTATTGCAGCTAAATGATTACTGGAATCAAGTGGTGAGAAAGTTTTAATTTAGCAAGCTCTTCAAAACTTTGTTGATTTCTAGAACTAAAGTTGACATGAAAACCTAAACCATAATCATTATCTTTCTTAACCCCACATTTCATGGAATGGAGAGCTGAGAAATTAAGAGATTGCCCAATGTAACCCAGCCAGTTACTGGGAAGGAATAGACAGAGCTCTCCTCATAGCCATACTGAAACAGAGCCGGGGGGGGGGGGGGGGGGGGGGGGGGGGGGGGAGGAGGTTGGGGGGAAGATGGGAAAATGGTTTCAAACTTTTATTTTAGCAGGGGAGCTTTATTCAATTTTCAAAGAACCCTGACATATAAAAGAAATCCAAGTGAATCTGCTCTTATTGGAAAAGAAGTGGGAACCCACCTTCTCAGCATCTCCCTCCTTCCCAAAGTGGCTGTATTTTTAGCACAATGAAATTGACATTAAACAGTTACAGAAGCTCTGAGGGTTTGGCAACAGCCAGTTTGGAAACTACTGCTTGTTTGGCTGGGGTTTGTGTGTGTGTGTGTGTTGGGGGGAGGGGGGCATCCGATTATCTGGAAAAATACAAAGTTTGAATGGGGTTGCAGTTAAAAAGCCATATAATGTCAACATTGCTGAGTGCTTACCACCTAGCAAGTTCTGTGCCCTTGCTTTATGGTGTTGTGCCTGATTTAAACCTCACAATAGCTCTCCAGTTTAGGTACTATTATCCTTTACTGATGAACCAATTGAGACTATAGGGAAACTAATTGGTCACCCAGTAAGTAGTAGAACCAAGATTCTGTGTTTTGAAAATAGGTTTGTCTGGGGGCGCCTGGGTGGCTTAGTCGGTTGGGCGTCTGGCTTTCGCTTAGGTCAGGATGTCGCGGTTCATGGGTTCGAGCCCCGCGTCGGGCTCTGTGCTGACTGCCAGCTCAGAGCCTGGAGCCTGTTTCAGTCTGTGACTCCCTCTCTCTCTGACCCTCCCCTGCTCACGCTGTCTCTCTCTCTCTCTCTCTCTCTCCTAGAAATAAATAAAACATTAAAAAAAAAAAAGAAAATAGGTTTGTCTGATTCCAGAGCCTGAGACATAACTGCCATACTGAGCTTTTTCTTTTTCTTCTATTTATTTAAGAAAGAGGAGAGAGAGAATCCCAAACAGCCTCCACGCTGAATTGGGGCTCAGTCCCCTGTCCTGGGATCATGACCTAAGCCTAAATCAAGAGTCTGACGCTCAACCAACTAAGCCACCCAGGTGCCCCTGAGCTGTTTTTTAAATGATATCACAGGGAAGGAAGGGAATGTCATTGGAATAGAGAAGTCATGGAAGAGTGAGCAGAAGAAAGCAGAGGACAAAATGTGTCATAGTTTAGGTTGGGATTGGTTATTCGATGAATATTTACCAACCACATACTGTGTGCTTGGCATTGGGTATATGTGAGTGAATAAAAGATACATAAAAATTTTTTAAGTTCAACAAGAATATATCAGACACTTCTGCTGTGGCAAGTCGATGAAATCTTGGGGATAGGAAATCGACACTGTGCTCCTTGGAGATATGATTCCACCAACCAAGGGTGGTTCCCCTTTGTCGTTCTCAACTCAAGGAGTAAGAAGATGACAGCTCAGATTGCCTCATAGGTCACAAAAGCCTACTCGTGGAAATGAATAATTTAAAATCACTTCCTTGTTCTATTTTTTTCCTGTGCATTTCATGACAGCTAATTTCTACTAACAGGAAGAGAATGATGTTTTTCCACCACACAACATTTACTGTAACCTAAGTTGATATGTTCCTGTTTTTAAGTTGAAAAGCAAATAGTATTCTTCCTGGATTGAGAGTTCTCAGACGGGATAGTTAAGGATGAAGGTCACTTTTCCGGTTCTCATAAGGTGCATTCATCATAAAGGGAAATATCCTCTCTCTCTCTCTCTCTCTCCGTACACACACATACACATGAAACTCAAACGTCCTGGTTACCATAATTCCCTGGGAGTGACCAGACCTTGTTAAAGTCCATAGAAGGCCATCATTATGGTTGTTTCAATGGAATGTCCTCTAGGAAGTTCTGTGTTTAACACCCTCTTTTGAACTAAGATCAAGAAATTTGCTATAGACCTTCTGTTTTCTTATCGTCCCCTTAACTGATTTGATCCGACAGGGCTCGAGCATGCTGGCTCTGGGCAGAGCTGCAGGAGTCTTGCCCGAGATAGTGAGGCTCTGTGGCCACCAAGTCTCCTCTCCTCACGACCCTCACCTGCACTTTTGTTTGCACTTGGCCTGGAAATCTGTAAAGTCCCAGCAACCCAAGCACGGGAGGAATGAGGAGAAAGAGACTGGAAAGATCTGCTACCAACCTGGGGCCGGGGACAGCTCCTGAGAGGCAGCCAGCAGGGTCCAGCAGCCGTGTCCTTGGAGCTGTGGCTCGGCGGGGTTCACTACTTCCAGCTCCAAGATGGTCCAGTCCAAAGGATGGGCTTGCATTCATGTTTGTATCTTTCTGGTTGCTTGTGGCTACTCGGTATATGACCTGTCGATTGTTCTGGCCTATTATTATTACTTTTTTTCTCCAAACACAGGCAGTTGCCAAGGTCCTAGCTGCTATCATCGCTCCCCTCGACTATTGCTGACTGATAACTGATCTCCCCGCCTTGGGTTTTGCCCTCTGACGTAACACTCCTTTTTTTTTTTTTTAATAGTTTATTGTCAAGTTGGTTTCCATATAACACCCAGTGCTCATCCCCACAAGTGCCCTCCTCCATGCCCATCACCCCCTGCCCCCCACATCCATCAGTCCTCAGTTTTTCTCAGCATTCAAGAGTCTCTCATGGTTTGCCTCTCTCCCTTTCCCCCACCATTTCCCCCCTTCTTCTTCCTCATGGTCCTCCATTAAGTTCCTCCTAATCCTCCTATACGTGCAAACATATGGTATCTGTCCTTCTCTGCCTGACTTATTTCGCTCAGCATAACACCCTCAAGGTCCATCCGTGTTGCTACACATGGCCAGATTTCATTGTTTCTCATTGCCATGTAGTATTCCATGGTATAGATAAACCACATCTTCTTGATCCATTCGTCCGTTGATGGACACTTAGGCTCTTTCCATGTTTTAGCTATTATGGAGAGTGCTGCTATGAACATTGGGGTACATGTGCTCCTTTGCCTCAGCATTTCTGTTTCCCTTGGGTAAATTCCTAGCAGTGCTATTGCTGGGTCATAGGG